GGGCCCTGGGCCTCATCATGGTTAATGCATAGGCTTACGTGTGTGTACATATGTGTGTATTTGTGTGTGTGGCCTGTACAGGGTGGTAGGGTGTAATCTGAGCCCGGGGCCAGGACAGGACTGCAGCAAAGTCCATCCAGGCAGAAAAAGCAAGACATCAGCCGCAGGGTGGAGAGAGGAAGATGGAGAAAGAAGGATGAAGAGAGAGAGAAAGAGAGAGCAGCTGAGAGAGTAAGAGGAAAGGTTGGAGAGAGAGAGGGAGAGAAAGTAATGGACAAATAGTAGTAAGGCTCTTTTTAACTCGGCCTCCGTGGAAGAGAGATGTCAGTCTGTGTCAGTTCGCTCCACTTACTGGCCTGTAGCAGGAGAAACAGATCTCTCCCTCCCTCTCTCTAACACTTTCTTGCTTTCTCTCCCTCTCTCTCCCCTCCCACACCATCTCTATCTACTCTGTGCTCTCATATCTTTTGGTGATAGCTTTTCTGCCTCAGTTGAGAGAAGCAGAAACACTCCACAGCTCAGGGGAAAACAGCAAGACTAAGTAAAAGACCAAGCAGTGAACCAGTCTTCTCTAAAAAGGCAGGCGATGTATAGTGCAGGTCTCCTACTGATCACACTTTGGGTGAGTGAGACCGGGGCTGCTTGTAATGCTGTGGAGTCAGGCCCTGAAGGCAGGCCATGCTGCGGGCTCTGCTGCAGCCTCTGTGTTTTGAGGAGGGCAGCACACAACTCTTCAAACACAGAGGGGATCAAATCTTCAAATCCCCTGGAAATGTCACCCACGTCTGAGGAAATGTCAGAAGAGCTGAGAACACACGCAAACACGTCGGCCAAAGCATGTGCACGCGGACACACACACACACACACACTCAAGTGAACACGTACTCTATATCATGGTAAGAAAGGCAACGTGATGTAGGGCAGTCACATCCTGTGGGTGAATCGGCCTCATCTCTTTTGCTCTCCTACATCCCTGGAGATGCACTTTTTTTGCGCCTATGGGGGACTTTATTCCCATGAGGCTGAACATGTGTTCTCTGGCATTTTTGCATGAATAATCTCCCTCTTCGCAACTTTGTCATGTAAATGATGTAACAAAGAAATGTTAAACTGGTTATGCCTGTGACGTGAAGAAAGAAAAACAGCTGGAATTGGCACCTGAGGGAAACACAAGATAACTAGATAGCTAAACTAGATAACTGAGCCTTGACAGTCTTTCAAAGCACAGTTTTTTTTTCATTTTGATTGCATTTATTGTTCCTGTAAAATGGATAATGATAAACAATTAATTTAAGATCAAGACTCATCAGGTGCAGTTCCTTGGTCGCGTCAGGTGATCTCATCTGCAGCCGATGACATCATCCTGTGTTCTTATTGATCCATGCGCACCCCCGCTGACTAACATATCGACATCCTCAAGTGTATTTCCTGTCTAGACTGTCAGCAGTGTTTATGGATGGCCCTGCCCCCTAGTGACACTGTGCACAAACACACACTCACATCTGTACCCACCTCCTCTTCATATCGACGTTTCCTCTTTGACTCTGTCCTCCTCCTTAATGAATCCAGTAGGTGTCGAAGTGCAGATGTTGCTGGGCTGAACTATCGACAGGCATGGCCGTGATGAAAGAGATTGTCCCTGAAGAGGTTTGGTTAGGTCACAGTGAATGGTGTGGGAAAATTATAGAGAGTTATTGTAAGATGGTGTATGTGTTTCAGGGAGATGTGCATGTGTGTCACATTTAGGAAGTGGTATTGAATCCAGTAGGTTGCTTGTGTGCAAGACGGTGTCAACATTAGTGACAGTTGAGATGTGGGCCATGCAAATGACTGGTTAGGTTGTCTTGACTGATCAAACCCTATTTTCTTAAACACTCGTGCGAGCACAGAAACACTCTACAGATCACCTTGTGCACGCCTGCAGGCTCTCCTGACTCTCTGTTTATCTGCAGCTTCATATCAAGATCTGTACTCAGTTACTAATGTCTTGTGATCCTTTGAGGGCATAGTGTGCCATGTGAAGCTCTCTCCTTGTCCTGCTACATCATCCATTACTAACATCCTCTTTAGCGATTAGAGGAGATAATGCTGAACTCTGGAATTAACCTCAATTAGTCCTACCTCTGTAGATCCTCCTCATTTCACCTCCTGACTCCTGTGCAGCATCTTATTAGTCCTGCCCTGTTTCTGCTGCATTCAGAGGACGTATATATATCCACATGAGTGTACATGTAAACTCACAGTTCTCTACATCTGAAAAAAACAAAGATTATAATTAGTTTTGTTTGCACACATATCCAACAACAGCATATTTGATGCAAGAGTGAGTTAATCAAAGATCGTGAGCTAACTAAGGTGCAAACTCCAAGCTCAGGTAGCACTGTTGCTCAATCAGTGAGTCAACCACTTTGATCAATAATACAAAATCATAATGACCATAAACTCATTGCCATAAAAGTATATAAATAAGTATGTAGATGAAGTATTCCCCTACGTTAAGTATGACTGACTTTGGAGAGCCCCATGAGGTGGAATGTTTCATCAACCTTTGTTGGATGCTTAAAAAATGTGTTCTTGTCTTTCATATTTACTTTAGAAGGGACTGATGATCCCCTGACATTAGGACCACCTTTAGGGTCTTTTTGGCTTTTTGGTATCAACCTAATTTGCAAAACTAATGACAAAACCATGTTTCAGTTTCTGGATACTTAAAAGCAAATGTCAGAAAACATGCCGACCTTATGGTGAACTGTAATTTGCAAAAACAAGTGTGAACATTGTCATGGTTAGAGTTGTATTGCACTGGTGTTAGCATTTAGCTCAAAGCGTTGCTGTGTCTGAACATAACCATCGCAGAGCTGCTAGGACTGCTCTACACTTGGTCTCGCTAAGCTAACAACTCAGCAAACTGCACCACTGTGATGTGAAACACAACAAACTGTGAGTAATTGTGACTCATATATGGGAATAAATGAGTCTTTTGAGAGGAATTGTGGTGACATGTAAATGTGTAGCATCAAATCTTGGCAACCCTGCTTGTTCTTTAAGGCCAGTGTGTTTCATATTAGTCACCACCATCTGTTTTCTTTGGCTGTGAGAAGCATCAATATCTCAGTGATTTAGTACTGAAGACTCACGGCCCTGACCTGTTGGAGCAGGCTCTACACTTACTTTCCTCTCTACAGCCTTGTTTTCTCGTGATGATGAATTAATACAGAGTAACGGGAATTGATAAACAATCTTCTCTGATGTGCACTTTACACACAAAAAAAAAAAACAGAGTTAAAGGGGAATGAATGAAGACAGCAAAGAGACTGATAGAGAAAGCGAGAAGTGGAATAGTTTAGGAGGCCTTTAGGCATGTTTGTTGTGTATGTTTTCTGGAGTAAAGGTAATCCCAAGCTCAGACATGACTGTTTACCTGCTCTCACCTGACGTGTTGGGGACTGAGACAGAGGAGGCACACCCGATGCATCTGATGATGGGGATAAGATAAGCAGGGACACTCAACAGTGAATAGTGAATATACACTGGTTAAACACACACACACACACACACACACACACACACACACACACACACACACACACACACACACACACACACACACACACTTTCAAGAGAATCCCGATACTTCAGTGGCATAGGCATTATGGAGAGTGCGTGGGAGAGGTGGATCGTTAGCTAGCACAAAGGGTGAGTTTATTGTTAAGTGAGGTCTGTTTAAAATGCTTTTTAACTGCTTTTCAACTGCAGCAGCTGTCTGCGGCTTGAAGAGAGGGCAGGTGGGCAGGTCTGAAGGAGGCACTTAAAAGAAACTTCCTACCTAAATAAAAGAAAATCCCCTGGCCAGCAGGTGGATTTACATATAGGCCAACAGCCAAAACACTTGTAGGTTTTTGTGTCATAGCTACTGTTGCGGTTTGCCCACTCAGTCTGTTACGGTAGGAGGAAGTATTGATGCAAGTTGATGCTAAAAACACCTGCGTGTGTGAGTGTAAGCACACACAAACTCTTAAGAGAAAAAAAGGCACTAACAACTCTCTCCCCCCCCCCCCCCCCCCCAGCTCCTCATGAGAAGTCATTAGCAATGTGTCTGTGTGTTTTATTTTTAGCAGTGTGTGTCTACTAGGGGCCTCAACAGTCTTCAGGGCCCCTTCCTCTGCTCTGTCGCTCTGTGTCTCTGTCTCAAGCTGAGAGCTATGTATATTTCATAAGCCCAGGGTGCCTTTTTGTCTTAAGATGTGCTGCACCTCCCCTGCCTGTCTCTCTGCTGCTCATCAATGGAGGGAGCCATCACAGGCTCTTTTAAACTCTCCTCCTCTCCTCTTTTTCTCTCTCCTTCTCTCTCCTAGCTGACAGCCACCCTCTGCCTCTCCCTTTGCTTTCATGGTCAGCTTGTCTCTCTCCTAAAGGCTCGTCCCTCTTCCCTCTTTCCGCTGTTGTGGGGAGCAGAGCAGAGCAGAGCAGAGCACATCCAAACAGACTCGGGCTGTCAGAAAAGACTCTTTCTCTCTCTCTCTCTCTCTGTCTCTCTCCATCTTTGATTCTGTCTCTCTGCCTTTCTGCTTTGTGGCTCTGTCACGTCTGGGAAAGGATACTTTTTCACCCAGTGCTGCATCCTCTTTAGTTGTTGTCTTTTTATAGATGACATTTGTGACAGCAGCTAAAAATGGTTACAGTAGCCGTTGGGCTACATCAGCAGCTAATTGCTATATTTACAACAACCCATGTCTCTTTATGGTTTAGATGTGATTGTAATAGCAATATTACCTTTGTAGCCCCAAAAATATTGATTCAATAACATATTCAGGGAGTTGTGTGGGCAGGTTCTGAATCTGTAGCTTGACTTGTGGATAAATAGTGTTAAGGACTTCTATTTCATCTCTCAGTTATTCAGCTGTTGTTATTCAAGCTACCTCTGTAGTTTTATCAGCACCAAAGTGCAGAAAGTCTTCCTTTCTCTCTTTAAATGTTATTGATGTCTTTTTCTTTTACAGGTGTGTACAGTGATTGAGATTGCACCCAGTAAAGAAGCGGACTGTGGGCCTTCACAAACTCCTGCAGGTGACCACACTCCTTCTCACTCAGTGACCTTGGAGCCAGAGAAAGCTGACCGAGCTGAACACCCTCCTTCCAGTGAGTACACCACATGCTGGACTAAAATCTTGTTTTCTTTAAGTCTTGAATTTGTCATTTTTTCTCTCCTCCACTCTGTCTACATAGTTTGTTTAACCTTCTTTTCAGAAGGGTCTGTTAATAAAAGTCATACTTTCAGGATGTGACTTCAGAATTTTACTAGCACTTTCCACAAACATGAACTTTAACATAGTGCAAACGCCTGTAATGAAACGCTCATTCTGTAATTCTCCAATTACTCACAGCATAATATTATGCAGAATGTTTCTCACCTGATTATACAAGTAAGAATCCGCCATACTCACGGCTATTCTATCTCTTCAACCATCAGTTTATTGTATCTGTAGAAAGCAACAAGAGCTGTCAGGGTTGAACAAAATCTAGATTAAATCTTTGTTTTCCATCTTTGAGCGTCACAAAAGTCAACCCTTACATTCTGCTGCTGCTGCTGCTGTGGGAGATTAGGAGATATTTTGATGATTTCCCTGCAGTTTGTTTTGCAAATGTGCAGAGGATCTTGTCCCTTCACCTGATTTGAATGCATTGTTTGATGGCAACTGGTTTTAATTAACAATGCAAACCAGGAAACCCAACCTGTCGCCACTAAGGGTATACACAAAGTGACTGACATTTGTATAGATTTGCACTCTATTGCACATGCATACACACATTTCTCACTAGTTTTAGCTAGTCTCAGTGACCTTCATTGCTGATTAATTGGAGGGATGGATTATGGGGTTTGCAGTAATTGTAGACCATCTTGTTCATCTTGTTTATGTACTCTTAGGGTGGTAAATCAAACTGTCTGGATGATAGTTTAAGAAAGAAAGGTGTAGTTGTAAAAATGAGACTGAAAAAAAAGTTGGAAGACGTCATCATGAAGAAGCCAGACAAAAAAAAGTGACGTGCGTGTGTAAGTGTGCGAGAATGCCCGAGGGAGTCCATCACTACAGTGAATTTCGGAGCTCGGTGCGTTTATGTGGAAAGTGCTGCTGTCTCCTCATATCAGTGTAGCTGGACTGCATTTTGCACTTTGTATTTATTTCCACTCTCTTTCGCTCATCCTCTTCTTTTTTTTTTACACAAACGTTTAAGCAGGAGTTTTGTCAAACTAATTGTGTTGATTTCCAATATTCTTCATTTGACTTTCTCTCCTCCTGCTCTATATTTCTGTCTCTCTCTTACCGATCCCTCCTGCTCATGCCTCTTTCTCACTTTTCTCTGAGGCTATTCCTGTTTAGCCAAGAGGGCCCCCCTGTCGTTTATAGAAACTCATCTCTTGCTCTCTTTTACTGAACCCACACACACACACACACACACACACACACACACACACACACACACACACACACACACACACACACACACACACACACACACACACACACACACACACACACACACACACACACACACACACACACACACACACACACACAAGCTCAACCACAACACTCTCACAGACACTTGGTTAAACAGTCATGACGAAAGAGGACACCACACATCTCCAACACACGCAGGCAGAATGTTACTCCCAATGGTCTGGTGTGGCTTGAGAACAGGGTTTCCATGAGTTATTTAAGGGCTCTCCATCATGCATGTTGGGCGGCAGCTCACACTGACATGACACGGCCCATTTCCTCCACTCAGGCTAGGAACGTGACACAAGACACGCTTGTGGTCTTCACACAGAACAGAGCAGAGAGGTGCATGATCAGTCATGATCTTAAGACTGCTGGGTTTAAATCATTAAAGCGGTTTCCTGTGCATCAGCCACAGAGAGAAATACTCCCGCTGTCAGCTGTCTGTCTGTTCTCTGCAGGGTTTTTCTTGTGCATGTGTGAATATTGAAAGGCTTAATGGTCACAGCTCTAATTAAGGTTTGTATTGACCAGTGGTGCACAGAAAGAGGAGAGATGTGATCTTTCACAAAATGATGTTGGAAGTGGCACTGTCAGTGTGTGAGAGAGAAAGGAGAATATATTGTCAATGGGAAGCAAAACAGATTTAATAAAGGAAATGTTTTACAAAATGCAATTGAAAGTGTTTTAAGAAACACAAAGAAATTACAATGAAAAGCACAAGATGTGCTAAGATGAGTAATAAAGACGTCCATACACAAACCACAATACAAACAAACAGAAAATATATGTCCAATAGCTAACAGTGAAGTAGCTATAAGTTAACTCAACCAAGGAAAATAGGATCAAACTTATATTTATAGATCATTGATTGAATACTGCATTTTCAGTTGAGGTTTTCTTTTTCTGGCGAGAGAGCAGCTCCGTATACACCATTACACAAAGACAGTAAAACTAATGCATGGTTCATACTGTATATTTAAAACATTAAACATAAAATCACAGAAAATAAGATGAAATAATCAACCAAAGGCACAGGAGAACAACAGACTTCTGTGTGATATGAGAGTGTGTTGGGTAAAATGAAAGTCTTAAAAAGGAATGCATCAAAAATGTTTTAAAACGAGGGAAGAGCTCCCCTTTTTCATGCACTTGTCCAAACATATTGAGGTCAACGGCGCCCCTATCAGACAGGAAACAGGCTACAGTGGAGAGGTTGTGACATATGGGGCTGAACACATTGTGCTTCAGACCTGTCGACCTGTGAACTGAACACTTCACATACATCATCAGTCACTAGAGTTCAAAACAACAGGGTCACTATACATCACTATGGGGGGTTGGGGAACAAGATGAAGCTCCCTGCTGTACTTTCTGCAGAGATATCTCGTAGAGGTGTTAGCAAAGATTGTTAATATTTATGTGTATTGTATTGCATCTATCTATCCTGTTTTTTTTTAGCCTTTCTAAATGTTTATTCTGTTGTTTTCTACTCTTTCACACATGTTCTTTCCTCATCCTGAAAAAACATGTTTTGAGATATGTAAATATTTTGTGTTCATGTGTGTGTTTTGCACTTGCAAATGCTGATGATATGATTGTGGTGAGATAAGCTGCGAGGGCGTTGTGATTGCGATGGCACAGCTGGACTTGGCAGACTTGGCAGTCTTGAGCACTTGGCTGCAGGCCAGTTCAATACAATTACAATTAGCCACTGAGGGAGCATGAAGAGCCATTGAAGATGGGCTGTAGGTGCTGGTGGGGACACAGAGGGGGGTGATTCACAGTATCTGGCAACCCACATTTGTTCAGGAGAAGGATCAATGTCGGAGCTGTTGCTTCAGTGGTTGTGGTAAACATTTCTCATTACAAGTATAGCATGGAGACATAGCAGCTTGCATTAACACTTTCATATACTGCAAAAGCATGTTACAAAGCACAAACACTACACACACATTAAATGAGGAACGGCCTATCCATGAGGGGCTGTTAGCAACTGCCTTTACTTGGCAACATGTTCTCCCTCTAAACTCTTCAAAGATGGCAGCTTGGTCTCTGGCCCGAAGCCTAAATATCACAATAAAGGTACCACTCCTCAGTTTGGCAAGGGCAGAGCTCCACAGTGAAGTTAGCAACAATAAGTTTGCAATTTCTAGTTGAAGTAAAGCAATCAATTGGGTGATAATGATTAGTGTGCACTGTGCACCCCATGTACAAAGGCATAGACCTCGATTCAGATAGCCTGGGTTTTGAATCCAACCTGTGGCATCTTTCTATCACCTCTGACTTAAACCCCAAGCAGAAATATTCTGTTCTTCATACTGTCACCTGACCTCAATGCACCATCTAAACGATAAGCTTAAGACAGTTTTCAAAACGTACTTATAGGCAGGGGTTTGTCCAGACTTTTTTGACAGAGGGGCACTGACTTAATGGCCTTAAAACATTGCGTGGAAACTCCTTCACCCTTACTTGCAAAAATACATTAATTGGCAATGTTTTGGTTTGAAAAGCCAAGGGGCGCTGGTGGCGCAGTGGTTAGTGCGCGTGACACATGTATGGCGGCTATAGTCCTCCAAGCGGGTGGTCCAGGTTCAAATCCAACCTGTGGCTCCTTTCCCGCATGCCATTCCCCACTGTCTCTCTCACTGATTTCTAACTCTATACCACTGTCCTGTCCCTCAAATAAAGGCACAAAAAGCCTGAAAATACATTTTTTAAAAAGAAAGAAAGAAAAGCCAAAACAGTCTGTTTAACCCAAGTCACACATCTAACCGGGCAAATAGGAAATCACAGTTTAGGATTTTGGGGTGTCACCTATGGTAGCCAATCAGATTTCAACGGGGCCTATGTGACCTGTCTGGAAACGCCCCTGCTTATAGGGATCACTGACCATGCTGCTATATTTTAAGCTCTCTTGTCCAGAGGAGAGCAGCAGCTGGAGGGATAAGAGTCACTGAGGGATGACAGGAGCAGTGTGCTGGGATGTAGGAAGGGGAAGGTAGGAAAAAGATGGTGAGAGGAGGATGGACACTGAATGGGAGATGACAGTGGGTGTGCTTGGAGAGAGAGATCAGAGGGTGTCAAAGGAGACAAGAAGAGGAATGCCACTGCTTGCCCCCCACCTCCTCGACTCCCTCTCCCTCTCTTTTCTTTCTCGTCTTTTGTTCCCCTCTGAAGGGATAGCAGGAGGGTGGGCTAACTCGGAATGACAGTGACAAGCTTGCCACAGCTCCCATGAAGCACAGCAGATGGAAGTGTGTGTGTGTTTGTGTGATTAAAATGCCACAGGAGACGAGGGAATACCGAGTCTCTTGGCAGTGCCACGCTTGGCAGAAAGCCACCTCAGTGCCCTCCTTTTCCAGACCAGAAGAGCGGGCGTTGAGTTGTGTGTGTGTGTGTGTGTGTGTGTGTGTGTGTGTGTGTGTGTGTGTGTGTGTGTGTGTGTGTGTGTGTGTGTGTGTGTGTGTGTGTGTGTGTGTGTGTGTGTGTGTGTGTGTGCGTGCGTGCGTGCGTTTATTAAGGATTGGGAAGCAGTCTCAACAAACAAATATTAATTCACAGTGCCCCCATTGTCTCTTCCATTATATCTTTTCTTCAGGGTGCAACGTGCTGCAGAGCCTTTATGGCTGTTTTTTCATCCGTCTATTTGAGTGATTCACTAATGTAATGATCACAGGATTTTTGAGAAAACAGAGCTCTGTTCTGCAGTATGGCGCCAGTCCTGGCGGGCATGGGGGGAATTAGTCAGGAGACAGTGGGTTTGGCACTCGTCCACGGTTATTAGCCACTCACAGGGTGGGCACGGGGTTATGCCCCAGCTCAATCACTCACTGTGTTTGCATGTGTGTGCCTAATGTGTTTGTTTCTGTGTGTGTGTTTGTGCGTGTCTAGCATTTGAGTCAGGATTCTCCTCTGATCACACTGACCTCATTGTGCAGTCACTTCTGGTTGATTTGTACCCTTTCCAACACATTCCTCTGCCTCCGAAAGGCTGAGAAACAGCCGTTTACCCCCTCTCTCCCCCTGACTCTGCCTCTCTCTCTCCCTCTCTCGCTTCCCTCCGGATGGGTTTGATTTAGTGACTGTGGTTTTCCATCCGGAGCCTGGGAGCCAGAAAGAGTCGACTTAGGGAGAGACCTATGGATTCACGGCCAGTAGAGCACGTCATTACTTGGCCATAGCTCATCAGCAGATACATCAGCAGGCTGGAGCGCTAATAGATGCGAGCTGTCGCCGATCAGGAAGTAATAAAGCTGTCTTCATTTCAGCCCCTTAATTATTTCCTGCTCACGGATTGCACGAGTAGCACTAAATGATGAAAGCAAAAATCATCTGATAGTTTGTGATACTTTTTCATGTCTAAATGTTTGCCTGCATCATTTAGAATGTGTAAAATATCCCAAGCTTTTGAAATATACTGTATGTGTAATGTAAAGTAATGCAATGTGAAGTGAATTACTGTTCTGTGTTCAGGAGGAGTTATATTTAGGCCTTAGTGAGGTCTCCATGATGTGAGGTTAAACTCAGTGTAGAGCAGGGAGGTCAGGTTACAGACATGTTTCAGCAGTAGCCCTGAAGAAGACGAGTACTTATGGAGACACCCGAACACTATGACCTTTGACCTCACTTTCACCAGGAAACAGGTGTTCAAGCATGATTAAGCCTGACTGGCGGCACACTGCGCTCAGCAGCTGGCTATGGCCAGTGTGTGTTTGTATCTGACTCTTCTTTTATTAACAATACACAGAAAATAAGAAATGCTGCATAACAACAAACTACAGCCTACAACCGCAGAGTACAGTTCCCCTAAAAAAAACTGAGCTTTCGTTCATTATTTCTTTACCTTTGATTTTCCTGTTTGCTTTGATCTTTCTCTCTTCTCTCCCATCCTCCTCATTTTTCAACCTCACGACTCTGACCTCATCACCCCTTCTTCTCCTCTTCCCCTACTTTCTTTCCTCTTTCCCATCCCTCTCTCCTTCCCTCCCTCCAAACTGTCCTCCACTGTCAGGCGGCTCGGCTGAGGCTAAGTGCTTTTTGCTGTCTCGCTGCAGGTGGGACTGTAATAAAGCTTGTCAGTGGGAGGTATGGGTCGCACTGTCACATGCTCTTTGCCTCCCCTCTTTTAACTCCCTCCTCCATTCCCCTCCAACCACCACCAGCAGCATTTGCGTCCAAGATCCTCTACTTTTATTTGCCCTCTCTCATTTGTCTGCCTTTTTTTCCCCATTTCGTCTTGCTCTTACCCGAAACTGTGCTCCTTGACTTCTCTCTCTCTCTCTCTCTCTCTCTCTCTCTCTCTCTCTCTCTCTCTCTCTCTCTCTGCCCCTCTCTCTCTCTGCCTCTCCTCTGGTTTCCTTGCCAACGGCACTTTCAGGGAACATGATGAAGAAGAGCAGCAACAGGAGACAACCCTCTCAACATAACAACCAGACATACAGACAGATACATAAACATAAACATAGGAACACACACACACACACATACACACACACACGTAATCCATGTAAATGACTCCAGGTGAGGTTGTATTGTTTGCCCAGCTGCTGCTGCTAACCAGTCTCTCCTGTTCAACAGTAAACCAGCAGGCTGCATGGAAATCAGCTTCCTCCACACAAAACAGTTCTCTCTTCCCCCTTGTGAGTTTATGTTTGCAAACTGTATGCGTGCGTATATTTATAACCATGTGTGTTTGTCACTGCCCATTACTCACAAAGGGCAACAAAGGTTAAAGCTTGTGCACTATTTGCATGCATGTTTTATCAGACTCATTTACACCCAAACTCCTATTCCACTGTTTGTGTGTGTGTGTGTGTGTCTATGTGTGTAGCTTTGAATATAAATGGCTTGCACACAGTTTATTCTTGTTGTAGCCACAGGATGGCAATACTGAGTCCCCTTACTTAAAGGGAATCCTTCTTTACCTTCTCCTACCACAGTTCATGTTTACACACACACACACACACACACACACACACACACACACACACACACACACACACACACACACACACACACACACACACACACACACACACACACACACACACACACAGCCCTCTTTAGTGTGAGTTAGCCCAGACTTGTGTAAGGTGACAGGGTGCAGTGAATAATTTAGTCCTGGCCATGTTAATGGCTGACAGCGAACATGGCCTCTCTGCTCGGCTGTTGGCCCATGACTAGAACATTCTGTTTCAGTGACTCTGTTTCACTCTCACTTTTTCTTCTTCTCTCTGTTTCATCGTTTTTCTCTACATTTTACATTCATGATGTTCTTGTCACAAAATCTACATTTTTCTAACCCTGTTACTATTGTCACAAAAGATAATAAGAAGCTGAACACTCGACTTATAATTGTGTCAAATGTCAAATGATTTCATTCTGCAAGAGGAAATCGTTGGATTCTGTCTCACATGCCATTGGTAGCGCAAACTTTTTTCTGGTGGCGACAACATGAACGATGAAAATGTTAATTCACATTCATTCCTGTATAGCTCTCGTTTATTATATGATGTTAAATCCCTTGATTTTTTCATATAATGTCCTTAAAATGTTGGTAAGCACCCACATGATTAAGATTGAGACATGTCTGTCAGGGAAATTTGGTTTGATTAGATGTGTGAGCATTTTGAGTGGTGTGGCTTTTTATTGTCTTTAACTGTATTTTCCTGTTCTAATATTTCTTCATCTGTGGTTCACCGCTACACTAGTGTGCATGTGTGTCTGTATCTGTCACCAGTCGAGCACAATTAATGCTATGATTGTCCCGCCGGGCTTCAGTCCTCTGCGTGTGTGTGACGTGGGTGAAGAATATTATGACCCGAACACTAATGCAATCACAAACACTAAACAAATTACAGCTCTCGTCCTTCTTCAATTCTCTCTCTTCATTTCATTTTGCTCTCAAATCAGCTTTGAGGATGTTCCGTATGCTGTACATGGGTTTCCAGTTTGTACAGTGCATGTGTGTTGTCGCCGGTCCTGCCTCGCTCCATTTTTCGATCTGATGATATCAGTATGAGTGTGTTAGGAGCAAGAGGAGCCAAGGAGCCTGGTGTAGCAGTTCTGCAGCGGCACTGAGGTCTGGCCTGGATCAGGCAGGCTCAGGGGGGATTGGGAGTGACGTGTCCGGGGTGAAACACCCCATAGTTGGGAGTCCCCAGCAGCCTCTCTGGCTCCAGCCTGGCTGATAGAGTCCAGCTGGGTGTGGAGAGGAGCTGCTCCATATATCTCCTGCCCCCCTTCTCCCCTCTTGACACATCAGTGTGTGTGTGTCTCCTTCTTTCTGCTTTTTCTTTTTTTCCCTTTGCTGTCCAAATCGCTTCTTGTTTGCGACATTTCATCCGTTTTATTTTTCTAATCATCTTCCCCACCTCCTCTCCTCTCCTTCTCTCTCCTGCCCCTTTTTCTACCCTTCATTGCATGTCATTCTTATACTATTCCTTGTCTCCTATGCCCCCCCCCCCCATTTCACCATCCCGCACACATGCAAACTCATCCAGAACCCTTGAAGTGGGGTCAGGATTGAGGCGTGCTGTTAATTAGCCGGCAGTGGTTGTTGTAGTAAAGCGATGCTGGGGTGTAATTAATTAGGTGGCATGTGCACAGTGGGAGAAAAAAAGGGTGGAGAGATGGAGAGAGAGAAAAACACCGGCTATCAGTCCTACTTTTATCCTCTGAGCTCAGATGAGTTCCCTCTAATGAGAAAAAATGAGATGCTCCCATCCAGGGAAGAAAGCATTTTTGTCCTTTACATGTTCTCTCTGCCTCTGCTCTGCTTGTCGCTCTGTCACTGCCTTGTTCTCTTTTCATCTGCCGATCGCATCCGTGCGATTGCTCGTGGGGTGCCAGTGAGTTGGAGTCACCAGTCACAGATCTCCCACAGTAGAACGAACACAGCCTCTGGGACATGGCCAGACACACACTCACAGCAGTGCTGACAGCTATACCACCACAGCAGAAAGGACGTACAGCAGATGAAAGCTAACATTTCAGTGAAGATTTGTTGGATATTTTTTGGCTGTAACGGATTTCTATGACTATTAGTTGGAAGAATATACATTTCAATAATCAAATCTTTCAATGATTGATCTTAAGTCTTGGGTAAGATATGCTGTAAATATGAATAACAGAAATGTACGAGTTATTTGACAACAAAATAACCTGCAGATATGAGAATATCATATCGATGTGTATCTCGATAAAAACT